GGAGCCCGATGCGGGGCTCGATCCCAGGACCCTGGGATCATGACCTGAGCCGAAGGCAGACGCTTAACGACTGAGCCACCCAGGCGCCCCTGGGCATTTTTATTTTCCTTTGTGGGGAAGGATAATTATGGCCTCCATGCCCTGTGGCTGTATCCATTCTGCCTGCCCAGACAGAGGCAGAGATCTTTCCCAAAACCCTCTTTTTTAAGGGAACCTGGGAGTGGTGGGAGAGGGGGTGGGGGACTTGAGTGTGTCTGAGGTGTGCAGAAGTGCGGGGGGTATAAGGGTAAGAACCTCTCGGGATTTGCAAAATGCTTAACTGTGCACCATCAAGTAGTTATGTAAAGTAGCTTGATTGGCCTACAGGTTGTTTGAGTTGTTTTTCTGTTTGGTTTGGTTTTGTTTTGTTTTGAGTAGGCTCCACGCTGGGCTTGAACTCAGGACCCTGAGATCAAGACCCAAGCTGATAGCAAGAGTCAGACGCTTAACCGACTGAGCCACCCAGGATCTCCAAAGTTGGTTTTTAAACCCAGGGATTGTACCAATGCAAGAGAGAGGAAACCAGATTTGACAAATGCAGGATGGGGCTCTGTGGTTTACACAAACACAGAAGAGAAACATCTGGGGACCGAATGGCCTCAAATGGAAAATGGTCAGGTGATTAGACAGATAAATAGACCGATGGATGGGTGGGTGTTACTCTAGAGGGGGCAAGGGGAAATGCAGACATCAGGAGCTTTGGGATTATGTATGTGTAAAATGCAACCCTGTGGACATATGAAAGGTGTTCTAGATGGATGCTGGAGGCTGAAAAGTCAACCCAGCATGGAAGATAAAATGTCGAATTCAGTCTAAAGAGTTACTCCGCACCTAGAAAAGGCAGAGCTGGCTGGAGAAGTCATCAGTTGAGTTGTGTCACTGGTGGAAAATATTTATGCATGAAGTCTACAGTGGTTAGGTTCTGAGCATGCGTTTACCAGTCATACTCCTGGTTTTGAATCGCCGCCCCAGGAAGTAACCTTGGGTGAATTATTTCACTTCCCTGGATCTCAGTTTCCTCGTCTACAAATGAACGTGTGTCTCATGGAGAGGATGAAACGAGGTGATATAGCTAGGACATGTAGTTAGAACTTGGTCCATGGTTGTGATTATGCTTCCATGTATTACTTTTTTCAACACACTTTAATTATGAGGGAGCACTTACTTCGTGCCAGGCCTGTGCTAGACACTAAGGATATAGACTTCTTTGATTCGTTTTCACGAATATTCGCTGAGCGCCTACCATGTGCCTGGCAGACACTGCTGAGTCCTGGAGGACGGACTGAGGGGGACGCAGACGAGACCCCTGCCCACAAGGTGCCCTCTAGCCTGGTGAGGAAGACGGATGTTCAAGTAACTAAAGTGCTTAGCATGGACAGGTTCTTGCTGAATGCCAGAAGGTCAAGGGGTTCCAGTCCAACGGATTGTCAACCCCTCTGCAGATGGGAAAACTGAAGCGCAGAAAGGTGAGACTTGCCCAGGTCCCTGCACCTAGTAAGTGGGAGAGCCTCAGCTGGGACGCCCCCCAGCCTGACTCCAACGTCCACGTCCTTTCTCAACAACACACAGTTAGTTGCCAGGGTGTGGGTTCCAAGCTTCTGGATGAAGACAGGGAAAATGCACAGACACAGAGGTATTCATTTTTCAGTCTCCAGTTCGGGAAAGATGTAATTTCAGGGATACAGAGGAGAGGGTTTGAGAAGAGTCAGCACCTCCTGCCGCAGAGGGATGCTGGGTGTGTCTTGGTGTGTGCGAGTGAATGCGTGCGTCTCTGCGCATTTCCGCGAATGCGTGGCTGCACGCGTGCATCTCTGTCCCTGTGTGTGTGTTTGTATGTCTTCTGCCTGTGGAGGGGAGGCAGACGGGTGTGCCTGTCTGTATGTGTGTCTGTGTATTTGTATGTGTTGCTCTGTGTGTCTGTATATCTCTGTGTTTATGTGTGTGTCTCCATCTGTCTATGTGTGTGGGTCTCTGCTGGTGACCCCGTGTATGTGTTTGAGGTGGGGGGTGTGTAGACTCGTGTGTATGTATGTATATGGATTTGTGTGTCTCTCTCAACCTGCGTGTGTGTCTTTGAAGGCATGTGGGTGTATTTGCACGCGTGTGTGCTGCTTGGTATCCGTCTTCCCGTGTGTGTGTGTGTGTGTCTGTGTGCCCGTATATGTGGGTGCATGAGTGTCTGCGTGTGTGCACGCCTCTGTGGGGGTGCAGTGCGCCCTGTCCCCGCCCTCCCCCCCAGTTGTTTCTGTGGAGCTGATCTAACTTGTCCTTCAGAATTGGGGACACGGCAACGGCAGTGACTTTCTTATCTCGCAGCCTGCCACTCTGTCAGAGGAAATTAGATTTGCTTGGCACAACCTGCTCCTTATGATGTCATCCTGGCTGTGATCTGCGTGTCCTGCTCTCCTAGGTATTTATCTTTTGATTTGCCTGATGAATACCTGCCAATGCAGAAATCAAGAGAACATGAGTTTTGGGTTGTTTTTTTTTTTTTTTAAGAATGATACCAGGAGTGGAACATTAGCTGCCCTTTTCTTTGCTGTGGACGTGGAAGCCATGGTAAAGGAGATAGAGCCTTGGCTTTGAAATGGAAAGACCTCGGCTCAAGTCTTCAGTTGGCCCTTTCAAAAGCTGTGTGACCTTGGAGAGGACACTTTACCTCTCTGAGCCACGGTTCTTTTTCTGCTAAATTCAGACAGTTCTTTGGAGGGACAAATATAATAACTGATGAAGATGTTCTCAGAAATCCACAAAGTCCTTAGACGACATGATGTCAAGGCAGAAAGGCCCCGCAGGACGACTCTGGGCTCAGACATCAGGCAAACTCTGGGTTTGGGTCCTGGCTCCATTCTTTTCCCAGTGTATGACTTAGAGCAAGTTACTATACCTCTCTGAGCCTCAGATTGCTTCTCTACTAAATAGGATATTATATATAAGGCACTTAGCTCACAGCTGGCCACCACGAGGGCCCCCCAGATGCGAGCTGTTAATATTTTTAATAATACAACAAGGGCTATAGCAGTATTAATATTTGTCCACTTTCAAACTTTCAGTGAACATAATAAGCAAGATAAAGCCTTTGGAAGAGCAGGGTGACATGGGCGGCATGATAGAAGTGATTTACTATTATTTATTTTTACTATTTCAGGATGCAGCATCAGCAGAGTGTTCTTGGCATCACCATATTCTTGGCAAGTGCTTTGCGTTTCATCTAGAACTGAGAGACCGTTCTGGTTGCACAAAAGGGTGAGAACAAGACAACCTGCAGCCCAGAGTGGTCGGGGCTGACTGCTGGGGGGCTGACTTCCCCAGGACCTGTCCCCAGCCCCTCCAACCACATCCTTTCTATACGATCTGCTCCCTCCACCTCAAGCCCCCTTGCCTTGGAAGATTCCCTTCCCTCCCCTGGAATATTCCTCACCATCACTCTAACCCCAGATCACCTGGGCTAGGCTCCAGGTGCCTCTGCTCAGGCTAAGTCCCTGCTCTGTGCCCCCAGTGCACCGTGCATTCACCCCACCATGCATGACATCCAGGGTGTTCAAATGCTCTGCTCTGTGCCTGGCTCCCTCCCAACCAGTGCCCTCCAGGAGGCAGGGACAGGGACCACAGAGCCCTAAGTGGATGTTTGCGGAGTGAACACGTGGAGATTAGCTGTCTCCTCTCACTTTCTGTCCCCACCTCCCTCAGATGCGATACCTTCAGATAGCAATGTATTCATTTCAGCTGGACCCACTTCTGACAACCATTTTGTTCAATAACAGAGATCTGGAAAGATGTGCCTGTTGATTTTGTTTGGGTTTGCTTTTGAAACAAGTGTTTGACCTGCTTCAGCCTGTGTTTTGGGGCTAATGTGTGGGTTTGCTGCAGTGACCATGGGGGTCCACATGGGCCTGCAGCATCAGTTTTGGAGGGTGGATGCCCAGAGTCTGGGATTGGACTGCCTGATTCCAGGCCTCGGAGTTATTGAACCTCTTTGTACCTCAGTCTCCTCATCTGTAAAATGGGGTTACATAATAAAACGTGGCTGCCACACCAGGGTTTTGTTGGCATTAAATGAGATTACTCAGATAAAGCCCTTAACCCAGTGCCTGGTGTAGAGGGAGTGTTCGGTGAAGGTGGGCACGTGTTCCTATTGTGTTGCCCTGGTAACCAATGGAAATATCAGACCAGGACCTCCACTGGAACAGAGACTGAGCATTTGGAGTCAAACATCTGCCTCCATTCTGCAGATCTGGGCTCCCAGGACTAGATGTTGGAATTACTCTGCAATTTCAGATGAATCTTTTTATGGTCAGGTGGGCATCATTCAAGGAGACATGTTCAGTCTATCTGCCTGATGAAGTGTGAGCCTCACAGTGTGAGCCTTTCTTCTCTCACTTAACAGCCACCTGGCTCTCCTAGTTGGCGATCTACTTGGCACACGGGCCACCTCCTGGTGTAGAGCAGGGGTCAACAGATGACATCCCTCAAGCCAAATCTGGCCCACAACCTGTTTTTGTAAATAAAGTTTTATTGGAACACAGCCATGCCCATTCATTTACATCTTGTCTGTGGCTGCTTTTGAACTATAATGGCAGAATTGAGTAAATATCATAGAGACTGTAAGCCTTGCAAAGTCTAAAATATTTTCTATCAGGACCTTTGCGGGAAAAATTCAGCTACACCTGCTGTTCAATTGAAACAGGATTTAAAGAGTAATCTGCTTGAGCTAAATCAGTAACCTGAGCATCATCCCATCTCCTCACTCTCCCTCAGCCCTGATATCAGGTTGATCACCGAGATCAGATGATTTTGCTCCACTATATCTCATATCTTTTCCCCTCATCTCTTTCTCAAAAGCCACTGTCTTAGTTTAGCTCTGTCTCCACCCCTCTTGACTATCTCCCACCAGGGCCACCATTTGCCTCTAAAGTGTCTGGGTGAATTAGATAAAGATGTCTTCTCCGGGTAGCGACAGCTCCACGACACACATGGTGAATAGCGGGAGTGGCTCTGTGCAGGGAAAAAGCCACCTCACCCTAATGATTATACCGAATCAGTTATAGCTCTGATGCCTACTAGTTATATCTATTGATCATACATTCTCCTCGCCTCCCTATCCAGGTAGTCCTTCACCCTAGAGCTAGAGTGATCTTTCTAACAGGCTGTGTCCCTCTCCTGCTCAACCCCTCCATAGCTCCCCTCAACCTCATGACAGAGCCCATGTGCATGGTATTCAAATCCTGTTATGGTCTGGTCTTTGCCAGTCTCCCAGTCCCATGCCTCACCAACTGCTCAGCCTACCTCACACCTGGGCACTGTCAAACAACTTGGAGTACCCTTTACCTAGACCTCCATGCTGTTCATACTTTGGGGACTGGCACAATCTTGTCCTTCATGAAATACTTTATTCCTCCTTTTATCCATCAGAAAACTTCCCAGTCTTCCTTCAGATCCACCGCAAGCATCTCAAACATCTTCACACACCCGGGTTCACGGTGTATTCACAGGTCAGAAAATCAGGGTAGTGGATCTTGACCAGTTTGAAAGGTGCACTAGTCTAGAAAACACAAGAGTGCACCACCTTTGGTCAGGTGCTGTCATAACATAGGATAAATAACAGGCTCTGGGGCCGCACTGCCTGGGGTCAAGTCTGGCTCTACATTTTATTAGCAATGACCTTGGGCAAGTGATTTAATCAGTGTGCCTCAGTTTCTTCACCTGGAAAACAATGATAATGATAGCACTTTCTTCATGGCTTGTCATGAAGATTAAATGAATATATTAAGATACATGTATAAATTGTGTACGTAGCTTAGAAAGCTACCTGGCAACATGGTAAGTGCTGTAAACGTTTTTGAGCTGGTGCATGTGTGCGTGGGGGGGGGGGAGGCGTGTGCATGCGCACACGTGTGTGTGACTGTGGTTTTGATGAGCACTCACCGAAAGCTGCTTCTCAGGCTGGGATCTATTCTGATCCTTATTAAGGCAATTATTTGACTATATTATGATTTTAAAACATTATTTTGCTTTCCTCTCTCCTTTACTAGATACGGAGCTCCTGGAGGGCAGCAGGTATGTCTTATTATCTGCATTCCAAGCACCCAGCACTGTGCTTTGTTGATTTTTTTTAATAAATGAGAAAATGAGGCCTATGTCCTAAAGCTGAACCACCCCCAACTTCTTCTGTGAGAAACATGCCGAGCTTGTGTGGGATTGGGATGACTTTCTCAGCCTATCTGTTCTCCACGATGAGATGAGAAAACGTGACCACATCTCATCGTCAGCGAGAGGGAGGAGGGCATGAGGGACCCTCGAGCAAGAGATGGAACTTCCAAACTGATTCCGAGGAAAATGGAAACTCCAGCTGACCTAAGAGATTTCTATAATGAGAGAAAACCAATTTAAATGCAAATAACCCAAGGCATAGTTGGGGAAAGGCGTTGTGCTGCAGAAAAAGGCTGGGAAAACAAACACAGGCCTCATCACGAGGCCAGTTCACCGTTGGATGGGAGGGCTGCTTTATCCATTTAGGATTAAAGTCTGAACGAGGGACAAAGAGTCGCATGCGTTGCTGGCAGCATTCCCTGGTGCTTCGTGGTGCCGCCTGAGACATGGGCGTCCCTGAGGGAGCCAGACGCTGGCCACTACCATTTACGGGGGGCCCCCAGCAGGTGTCAGTTGTTCTGCAAGGCGTAGAGAACAAGAGATGTCCCATAGATAGGCACGGCCTCGGAGGGGCTCACAGCCTCGGGGAACCGTTAGAACGTGGAGTCGCTTCTGGCCCCACAGCAAGTACTTACATTTTATTGAGCATTTACTTTGCACCAAACCCCCGCATAAATATTGTATGTGATGGTAATCCATCAGATTCTCACAGTCACCCTGTGAGGGAGGGCTTATTATTATTCCCATTTGACAGGCAAGGCGACTGAGGTTCCAGGAGGTAAGAAATTTGCCCCTGTTTGTTTCAGACCCAGACAGAATGGCTCCAGCCCTGAGGAGCTGAGAAGAGACACGGGTGCAGAGCAGAGGTGCCCAAGGGCAGGAGGCCCCGGGACAGTGTGCTGCTGGCTTTGGCCCAGGGCAGTAAAATAACCCCGTTCGTGGATTGCTCTGCCGCTCACTGTGTGACTGTGGGGGGTTACTTTCCCTCTCTGGGCCTCGTTTGCCTATATAAGATGAAGGGGGTGGCCTAAAATTATTTTAGACCATAAAATTATATTATTCTAGGACTCCAGCTGCCCTCATGAATAGCCGTTGCCCGGTCGATAAAACACCTCCTCTGTCCTTCGACAAAACACCTCCTCTGTCCTCCTTGATGCCCCCGCCCCTGGCCTCTACCCTTGCTGGCCCATCGCTGTTGCAACGGAGCACTTTAATTTCCTCCTTTGGTTTCATAATTCAAGGACAGCACCATCTGCCACATTAAATCCACGTTCCCTGCTAGCCTCCTTCTCAAAACAAGAGATGGATAAAGGCTTCATCCGGTTTATTTCACGGATGGAGCAAGAACTGGCAAAACCAAACGGGGATAGCTTTGGCCTTGCAAGCTGTATTAATCCCCTAATCTTCTGGTCGGGCCCCCGAGCCCATTCTGTCATCCTCACTGCCTACCCCAGCCAAATCAGGGTGATGATGATGATGGTAGATGACATTTACTGAGGCTCTTCTGAGTCAGGCACTTTCTTAAGGCTTTTTTGTGGATTCATTTATTTCGTCCCCATTACATCTCTGCAAGGAAGGGGCTAATAATAACAGCCCCACTTTACAGATGCAGAAACGGAGGCCCAGGAAGCTTAAGAAATTTGCCGAAGACCACGCAGCCGGCAAACAGCAGAGGCTGAATTGAACTGGCTGGGGAAATCGCCACTTACACACGGGGATGGCCAGCCCGAGAGGAGCCAGGCTTCCCAGCTGAGCTTTCTGGCCTCCGACATTTGAGGTGTCGAGGGCACTGTCCTTTATTAAACACTGATTTGACACATTTTTACTGAGCAGCCCAGAGTGTGCCTGGCGCTGCTTTCCCTGCTGAGCGGCCAACAGAGAACAAGGCCCGCTGGGGCCTCTCTCAGAGGGCTGAACGTCTAGTACAAGCACAAACAGACGTGATCGTTGTAGGTGGTGATGGCATACCACAAAGAGATGCAATAGGGGCATGAGAGGGAGAAATGGGTGAGTCAGGGCAGGCCTCCTGGAGCGGAGGGCCTCTGAGCAGAGATGTGAGCAGCATTCAGCAGTGCCGCGGGGTTTCTGGGCCTCGGCACTGCGGAGATCGTGGGCCGGGTCATTGTTATGGGGCCTGTCCTGGGCACGATCGGCCGTTGAGCAGCATCTCTGGCCTCCACCCACGAGATGCTAGTCGTAGCCCTTCTCTAGTGTGACGTTGCCAAATGTCCCTGAAGGGCGAAATCACGCCCCCGTTGAGAATCCCTGACTCATGAGATCAGCAAAGCAAACGGCGAGGGTGGAAGGGCTAGCAAGCTGGGCCGAGCATTCGAGAAGCAAGAAGACTGGTTTGGCTGGAGGGCAGGGGCCCGGGGTAGGGGTGGCAGGATCGTCACAGCTCTTGAAAACTCTCTAGAAAGCACTCAGCACACTTACAGAGTTTCTTGTCTGTGCTAGGCATTGTACCAGGTGTGTCTAAGGACACAGTGCATGCCCCAAGGTGATCACACTTCGGGGCGGCTGGATGAGACACTTGTGTCCGGGAAGGCAGCTGTCAGCATGGGGCTGTCCATGGTAACAGAAGATTCCGGTCAGAAGGCAAGCAGAGAGGGGCTCCGAAGGCAGTGACCGCAGTGCAGGAGGTCTGGGCCCCCTCTTGAAGAGGAGATAGGGACGAGTGAAGCCTTCACCTTCCCAGCATCCCAGCCCTTCCATCTTCCGTCAGCAACCATCTTGCCCCCCAGCCTTGCAGCATACAATTTTCGTGGAATTTCTAATCACGGTGCCCCCCTTGTCTGACCAAGGGGCTGGCATGAGACCCAAGCTTGGCTATCAGATTCTTCCTTCCTGGAATTAGAATACTGGGCAGAGAAACCCAAGGGCAAAGAATGGCTAGAGTCCATTTTTCTAATGAAAACGGAACAAGGCAAGTTCTTTTGTTCGGGCATTATTTTCTACTCTCTCAACAACCTAAGAAGCAATTGTTTCTCTCTCTCTTCCAAAGCCTTGTTTCCTAGCTTTTCCTTCTAATGCCCTTTCAATATATATCCATTTTAGTTCACCACAGTGGATTTCCGATGCTTGAAACCCCAATTAAAATAGAAACAGTGCTATATGGACAGGGAAAAGAGAGTGTCGATTTCTGATTCACGGCACTCACCACTTTATATTAAATAAGCCGTATGTCCCTCTCTCTCCTAGCAACCAGCAGCTTCTCCAGGGCCGGGAGAAGGTTTTCCTCACAGCACTCAGCTCAGGGCTGGCTTCTGGCTTTGCACTCGCCCTGGTTTATAACTACTCATTTCTTTGTGGGATCATTTGCTTAATGCCATCCTCCCCCACCATGCCAAGGCCCCATGAAGACAGAGTATATGGAGCCTACCCCAGTAAGGTGACCGACCTTCCCGATTTGCCTTTGTCCCCTGGGGGTTTTCTGGGACAGGGACTTCCCGTGCTAAAACCAGGAAAATCCCAAGCAAATCAAATCCCCAGGTGGCCCTGGCCACCCTACCAGGACCTGGCATAGAAGCCTTCAAGCACCATTTGTCCCTGACATTCAAGAAATACATGTTGAACTGTAGAGGCAGCCCAACAGAAGGCATATTCTTTCATTCCGCATTTCTTCACACTGACTGTGTGCCCGGTAACCAGCTTGTCAAAAGCAGGGGATTCAAGGAAGGGTGTCCCAGCAGCCAGGACTGGAAATGTAAATTGGAACTAGACTGGAGAGGGGGTCTTGAATGCTGGGCTCAGAAATCTGGATGCCACGCAGGTGCAGCAGATCCGGCTGATTGAGAAGCAGGGAGGAGACATGAAAACAGGAATAATTTGGGGGTGATGCCTCAGCGACTGTCCCCCAGACTCTCTATTAGAGGAAGCATCTGCAGGGGCTGCCAAGCAGGGGGACGGAGCCTGAAGTCCATGTGAGTTGTTTGCTCGTTTTCTTGCTAGGGTCTAGGCTAGGCACAGAGGGGTTTTGGCTACCTCCTTTTTCAACTCAAGCACAGCCATCTGCTCGACTCAACAAGCAGAAAATCCACCCCCAGGAAACGTGAATTTATTTATGGATATGTGATGAATCCCACAGCTTCGCTCTTGGGGAGACCCAGCAACCTGAACCACGCCACGAGGCTGTCCTCCGGGTGGACGTCACCCCTGCCCCACCAGCAGGTGAGAAAACATCCATGCACAGCCAGGCGCACTTTTCGGAGGAGGCCTCCTAGACTTTGAGGACCTGGAAATCCTCTGAGAAGAACATTTCTCTGATTTACCTCCCTCAATTCAGAGAGGGGAAGGAATGTTCCTAAAACGACCTAGTAAGTGAGAAGCGGAGAGTGGGCGGTTCCCTCCTTAGCTTTTCTCAATAAAGAACTGAATCACGTAAAAGGGGGCCCCTTGCTCCTGGCAGACAGGAGAAAGTTCTAGAAGGTGAATAAACAAGGAAATAAAACATTAAATCGTGAGCTTCAAGAATTTTTCCTCTTTGAATTCTCTTTCTGTCCTTCTTACCACACGGAGAAGGCAGTCTCATTTTGGTACTCACAGGTCTTTAGCACCTCTCTGAAACTTTAACACCTCTCCAGATCTCTCTTTTAAATGGAAATCAAACAGGCCTCAAGCCCAGAGTCTTCAATGGGCACCCCGTTTCCCCAGAATTCAGCAATATTGCTTTATTTTCATGGTATTTCTTTTTATGGATAGCTTCTTTTTGTGGCAGGTGGTATTGGCTTTCCATTTATGGTAATGAGTACATTTCCCTTTTGAACAAATGTATTTAAGTTTTAAATGTGAGACAAGTTAAAGAAAAATAATGAGGGAGAGACGAAACCAAGTGGCATGCAGCTGCTGCACCAGGATTGGTGGTCCTCACACGATGGACGTTTGAACACTGGGGTGGGGATCCGATCGGAGATGCAGTGACTCCAGGGTCGCTGACCAGAGCACACGGCAAGCCTGAGATTTAAAGGTGGCTCCTTCACTGAATTAGAAACAGAGACATTGGAAGCTCTTCACGTGACCTTGAACAGACAGAAACCTGAGATGAGAGAGAGAGTGGATCTCTTGTTTAACTTGGCAGAGGACCCTCCTCGTGGGTAAGGGGTCTCCTCCCTAAAGGAAAAGGTGGGCAGTGAATTTGTGTATGTTTCCTACGAAGAACTACCGAAGGAGTAATAAAGGCAGGAACCGTGGAGGAAGGGCAGAAGCAGCTGCCGTGAATGGGCACCCTGTGCTAAGCTCTTCATATGCTTCCGAAAGCCACTCAGTCCCTTCATCAGCCCCATGCTGCTTGAGCTACTAGCGGATGTCTAAGGAGCAAGTACCATGTGCCAAGACCTCTTCAGAGCACTTTATCCACCCATGTAGTCCTAACAACATCCTTTGGAGACAAGTATTATCACCCCCACTTTATAGATGAGAAAACTGAGGTATTAAGAGACTAAGGAGTTCTGCAAGGTCACAGCTAGCAGGAGATAGAAGCAGATTCAAGTCCAGGCCATCTGGCTCTGAGCGTGCCCCTAAACTGTTAACGCTTCATGGAGGTGAGCGACGATAAACTTAATCTCCATTTTACAGAGGAGGACTCAGGCTTGCCTAAGATCACACAGCTACTGAATTGTAAAGTCAGCTAAACCACTTCCCAAGAGCGGCATTTTCCCAAAAGCAAGTTATTTCGTTAATTCAACAAATGCTTATTGAGCATTTGTCCTGTGGGGACGGCCCCTCTTCTAGCACACATTGCTCTTGGGGGCTGTGGGTCCTCCCCCAGGCAGGGGGGTCATCCTATGGACTTCTCCCTGGGACCTCTGGATTTCTGGTTAAATCTAAGCCAGACCAGCCTGCAGGCCTGGCTCTGTGGCAAAATCAGGAAGCCTGGGCAAGGCTTCTAGAACCTCTAGTCTGGCCTCAGTTGTGCCATTTTCTGCCGGAGCCTCTTTTCCCCTCCCAGCCTCAGCTCCCTCACCTACCAAATGGAGCTAATTAAAATGATCTGACTCCACTCACAGGGTTATTGGGAAAATCCAACAAGAGTGTGTAGGTGGAAGACTTTTCACTCTGGAGCTCCACGTTAGTGGTCGCTGTCAGTTCGCACGGCTCTCTGGCGAGTTATCTTAAAATAGGAATTATTGGTTTTTTTCTAATTACGAAAGTTTGGGAATTACAGAAGAGCACACAGAAACAAATACAAATGGTCCATGACCCTACCCTACCCATTGGTGATCTCTATTAACCCATTGGTGTATTTCCTTCTGGTTCATAAATATGAAATAAATGTAAATATAATCATTGCCTGACTTAAAACCCAGTAGTTTCCCACTGCAGTTGGAGTAAAATCCAAACTCCATATAAACACCTCACCTTGGCTTTCATCCTTGTGTTGTGTGGCCTGTGCCTACCTCCCTCCCACCTCTTTTCTCCCACTCCCCCGTGTCTCTGCCTTTATTTATTTTTTTCTAAAACTGCAGTTGCATCACCCCTCAAGGCCTTTGTCCCTTTGCCTGGAATGCTCTTCCCTGGATCCTCATGAATGGATGTTTTTCAACATACAGGTCAAGATCGGAATGTCACCTCAGATAATTCCCTCCTCGTCACTCCGTCTAAACCAGCCCATCTTATGCCCTCTCCATGGCATCGCCTTACTCCTGGAAATTGTTTCGCTTGTTCTTTGACTTCGCCCGAAATGGTACACTGAACTTGTTCCCTTCTTTATCACCATGCCCGGAATATTGCCCGGCACGCAGCACATTAACTATTCAATAAGTGAATGGATTAGATTAATGCACTTCCAAGCTGGGATCATCCTAGATCGATATTGTGCAACTTGATTTTTTCACTTAATATGATGTGGCCACAATAACTTTAATGGCGGTGCGGTACGCCATTATATGGACGTATCATCATTTTTAACCAAGCCCCTGTTATTGATCAGCTGGGGCATTTCTCACTGGTGTGTTTGTAAGTAATATTACAGCAACCATCCTTGTACACACACAGGGAGGCTTCGCACACCTCCCTGATCGTTTCCCTAGGATTAATTCCCGCTGGTGAAACCCTGGGATCAAAGGGTCGAGAGTTTTAATCCTCTTGATATGTATTGCCAGACTGACTTGAGGAAAAATCCTACTGTCTCTGAATTTGTTTTAAGGACCCATATGTGCGCTATTCTTAGTAGAGTCTTCTGAAGGCAAAGGGAATGTCATTATCTCCTTACCCAGGAGAGCTAAGGTTTAGGCCATTGGGCAAGACAGGTCAGACCCACATAATTTGCAAAAACCTCCTTCCTTCCTGACAACAGCTACACCTTTGAGCCCTACTGACCAGGCCCAATACATGGTCCATAGGGATCCTGTCAGGTGGTGAGGTACCAAGGCTACAAGTCACTTTAGCCAGGCCGAGGCATTTCTCCTTCTGGAAATTAATGACAGCCTGGCCCAGCCAGACGTTGTGAACTGGATGTTCCTTCTTTTGCTCTCCAAAACACACCTGGGATGGGCCAGCTGGCCTCTTGCTGAACCTTGCCCATACCTGGCCAAGTCCTCTGTGCCTTTGTTCACCTGCCTTCTCCATGCCCTGCTCCATCTCCTGTCCCAAGGCCTAGCGCTACCCCCCACCCCACTCCCACCACCCAGGAAGCCCTTCAGGGATCCCTCTCCAGCCCAGAACTGCTACAACTCTGACCACCAACCTCTCCTTTGGCATTTAATCATCTCACTGCCTGACACTGTTCCTACACCTGTGTGTCTGAATGAGTTTCAGTCTCCAAGTGAGGACTTTTCTCCCTCTGGGAGCTTGTCCACAGTCTGAGAGTCAGAACCTTTGGGCGAATCGGGCAATTGGAGCCTGGTCTCTGGTACCTACTTGCTCTGTGCATTTGGACGACGTATTTGGACAACCTCAGGTTCCCCATCCATAAAATGGAGATTGTAATAGTACTGACCGGAAAGAGTTGTTCTGGGAATTCATATAAAGCCTTTACCTTCGTGCCTGGCATGGAACAATTGCTAAACACAACAGAAAATAGTATTTATCTCCATTTTGTTCCTCTGTACCTCTGCACAGGCTGAACCAGTAACGTGCACAATGATAAAGGAAATATTTGTGGAATGGAATGAATGGACGTCATGCGGGCATTCACTGTGTGTGTATTTAGCCTCACTCAGGGAAACCAGAACCAGTCATCTCAGGATCTAGGGGCCGGAGGAGAACGGAATCTCTACTGTAGCTGAACCGTCCCGTCTCTCAGACGTAGGTCCAGAGCTCTTTGAGAGTGGAGCTGTGTTATCTGATTTAATCCCCACACCCACCTGACAGGAAGATATTTTTATGTCTCTCTGATAATAACACCTACCATTTGTTGACCATCTAGTGTGTGTGTCAGCTCTTTGCGAGACACTTTTTAAAAATGTGATTTCATTTAAATCCTCACACACTATCTCAGGGAGATAAGGGTTATTATTGCTGAAGAGGAAACAGGGTCAGAAAGTTTAAGTAAACTGCCCAAGGGCTAATGGGTAGTCAGAGAAGAGGAGAGGCCAGGATTGAAACAACAACAACAACAAAACCCAGAAACTTCCGTTATACCACCTGATTTACTGACATTGTCACAGAACTGTCCAGACCATTGCATTCAGTTGGCGCTTAATGGGAACTGAATTGCAAATGCGTGGTGATCTTGGGTCTTTTAACAGATGCTTCAGAGGGAGCAGTTTCTATTTCCGGTGCCCACCTCGATCTCCATCTCCAGGGAGGTTGTTCCCCACCCCTTGCTCTGCTGTCATGATGTTCTTGATTTTCTGCAGGCCCTGTGACTCAGCATGCAGCTCCAGATGGCTTCCTGCCTTTCCAGTCTTGTTGGCTGGGGTGCCGGGGCCCTGGTACAGTAAACTAAAACCGAAAACATGTTGCCACGAAGAGTGGAAAGCCTCCCTCCTCTGCCCGCGAATATGAAGATTGGGGTCTGCTAATCATGGCGGTGGCCCCCTCCGTGGCCTCCCCTTGACACAGTCCCTCCTCTCTCGCCCTGAGATCCTCGTACTCCACCCCAGCATATCCTTGATGCCTTGAAGATGCCACCCAGGGGGGAAGCAGGGACCAGCAAAGGGGAAGGGCCCAGTTCTGACATCCCCTTGGTCTGATAATCCCCCCTGTTGACCTTAAGCAGTTTACTTTCTGAGCCTCAGTGGTCAAACGGAGGGTTAGGCCTGCCTCTGAGGGTTATAGTTAGGGTTGCCAGATAAGATGCAGAATGTCCAGTGCTATGGACTGTGTCCCACCCAAATTCATGTGTTCAATCCTAACGCTCAGTGTGATGGCGGTAGAAGGTGGGGCTTTGGGAGGTCTTAGGTCATGGGGACTCCAGAGAGCCCTCTCGCCCCTTCCACCATGGGAGGACACTGACAAAAGGCAGCCATCTGTGAACCAGAGAGAGTGTTCTCACCAGACATCAAATCTGCAGGCACCTTCATCTGGGACTTCCCAGCCTCCAGAACTATGAGATATAAAATTTGTTTTTAAGCTAGTCTATGGGAATTTGTTATAGCAGCCCAAATGCAACCAAACGAAACTAAATTTAACAACCAGTTAAATTTGAATTTCAGATAAACATTTTTTTTCTTAATATAATTGTGTCCCAAATATTACATTCAAATTTAACTGGATGGCCTGTAACTTCACTTGCTAAACCTATAACTCTATGTAGAGTATATAGAGAGATAACAAATGTGAAGATGCTTTATCACCTATCAAGAGCTGTACACTTAATAATATCTTTCCATGAGACATATGCATATCTACCCACGGGCCACCAGCTTGGCCTAGAGCAGAGAACAGAGACTCTTACGGTCAGGTGATGGAAAATGTGTACCGTCTCAGCCTGTGAATTGGATACCTGGGTCTTGTTTGTCAATTGGTTGATCTTTGGACATTTCACCTCTGGGGCTTCCATGCTTCCATCTTTAATACTCCCAAATGCTAGAATGAAAAACATGGAAGCAACAGGTACCCAGAACTTTGTCTATTGCTGATTGACTGACACATGTCTGGACTAAATTTCCTTTTGACTGCATAGTTGAAGAAGAAAACAGCATGACTTATCAGTGAATTATTTAATGAAGGATGTATTTGGCTCCGAGATGGCCACAGAGCCCTGTCTAACATAGAAAAACAAAAGGAAACAACTAGTTTACTCTATAGAGACTTCTTGTTTATTTGGGGTTTGGGGTGTCTCCTCCTATCAGAGTTCTGTGAGGGGAGGGATTTTTGTCTGTTTTGTTTCCCATTAATATTTTGTGCCTAGCCCAGGATTGGTGGAATATTTGATACCCTGAAACCATTTTAGCTGGCTACATTAAAGATGAACAAATACATTCATAATCTATTGGAACGGGACTTTTCTGAAGCCCGTTCAACCTCCCTTCCTTTTTGAGGAGATGACAGTTGTGGCCCCAAGTTTTTTGGAACAGAGTTACCACCTCTCCACAGAATGTTCCCCAATCAGTGACCAACTCAAGTGCCCAGTGACTAGGGCCCAAGGGCTAGGTTATTTGGCCTGCATTCCCCCAAACTCCCCAAAGTGTTGTTGCCATGTTTTTGTTTTTTAATGGACTTGTCACCGGCTACCAAGACACTAATGAATGCCCAGTACCCAGTGAGCGTTTGGATTCCATGATTCACTGGCTCTACCAAAAAAGGAAGGGCAGGCTGACTTCAGGAACTTCTTAGCATCCAGAAAACCCTATAAGCCATCTTGAGATTTACCTCTTAGAAGCAACTCTCTAGTGGGGGAGCCCGACATTGTTGGAGACTTGAGACTAGCTTATCACTTCTTATAGCTGCATTTGGGTCCCCTCACCTCAGTGAGGCCCTTAGTTCGGTTCTACATTAACTGTCACCATTTTTGCATCCCCTTCCATAGTTGTCACAGCTGCCCCCTTTTCTCCATCCCTATCACCCGCCCTAACCCAGGCTTCCCCATTTCTCCCAGAACTAGAGCTTCCAGATTGCCCCAGAGTGATCCCGTTGTAAGCCAAGTACTAGCTGCAGTCAGCTTGTCCTGCATCTCCCATTCAATGAAATTTAGGAAGCCTGATGCTCATCCTAAAATCTTTCCAAGTTTATTTGTGGGAGCTGGGAGGAGATGGGGGTTATTCTCTTCATGGCCATTTCTTGCTCTGAATACCCGTTTCCACAGGAAGGAGTCCAGCATAGGAATTGAATACCTTGCTTACACACCCACAGTCACACCCACCCACTGGTGGTTACAATCGTGTATCACATCAACCCAGATGTGGCTTTGGTCCTTTCCCCTATTTTCCGCCCCAGAAAACTCATACCAGTCATCTTTGTGAGCATCAGGCTTCCCTGAATTTTTTTGGATGGAGTAATTTACATGTCAGTGAGGCATCAACTTAAGTTATTTTAACTATGTACTTTTAAATAATTATGAAATGCATACATTCCTTCTCATTAAAAAAAAAAAGTTAAAGCATCAGAGATAATGCTAAGGAGGCAGAACAGGAAGATGGAGGAACGTGGTTTCTTGACATCACCACCAAGTTGCCATCCAACCCTGAACTGCTTACCTCTTGGACTTCCTGTTGCAAGATATAAATAAACTCCTATATGTTAGGCTACTATGAGTCAGGTTTTCTGCTGCATGCAGCTGAACACAATCCTATCTGACACACTCCCTGTCTGGCACTGAGCCTCTCCCTTCTCATCACTTTCTGACCCCTTAACCATTGAAATTTTTCTACCTAGCACTTCATCACTAGCTGAAAAGATATTCTTTCTTAATGGCTCACAAGTTTACTGTCTGGTTTCCCAGGAGGACGCAGGCTGCACATGGGGAAGGAGTTGGTCTTGCTCTCATGATATCCCCTAGGGTCTAATGCAATACTTGGCCCATAGTAGGTGCTCAATAAATATTTGTCCATAAATGAGTGAGTGCAAATTTGATCATGTCCTTCCTCGTTTAGAGGATAAAATCCAGACTATTCTGGGCAGTCAAGGTCATTTCTGGCCTGGACTCTGTCTGCCCCATCCACCTTGTCCCAAAGCAGTTTGTAATGCTGTCTGTATGGGCATCCACCACTGAGCCTTTGCACAAGCTGCTCTCTCATGTACACACACACATTACTGAGCACCTACTGTATGCCAGACACTCTTTTTGGTATAGGAGAAAATTCGATGAACCAGACAGACAGAATGCCCACGACTATGGAGCTCAACAGAAAGGATAGACATTGGCCAAGTAACTACAGTGTAGTCAATCTTAATAAAAGAGACTATTGGAGTCATGAGAGTTCCTCAATCTCTAAATGGCAAACTCCTAGTAATCCTTTAAGGCCCAGCTCCAATGTCACTTTCTCTAGGAAGCCTTCTCCATGTCCCTGGGCTAGGGAGGTTGCTCCTGGTGCTCCCACAGACTCTTGCTAGACAAATCGAGCCACAGAACTCAGCCCACTCTACAGTCTTTGCCATCTTCTTGTGAGCCTGCTTGTGAGCCTGCTCGTGAGCTTGTGGAGCCAGGAGCCTTGCCTTATTGATCTCTGTATCCCCAAGGTCCAGTGCAGGGCTTGGCATGCAAATTTTTATTGAGTTCAGCAATTGACCTGTCCCTTCCTTGGCCTGCCTCCTTCCTTCTCCCCAGTCCTTTTTCCAACGCTCAAGTTCCAGCCTGCCTTGGTCTCCCCATTCCACACTTAGCTCCCCAGGCATATCTTCATCTTGTTCTGATTTAACCCTTCCCCTCCCCAGGCAAGCTGCAGAGTGGAGAGGCACCAGCTTCCTCTTGGGCTGTCTAAGCAAAGCTTAAATAAAAGGCCAGGAAAAGCCATTCAAGCACTAGGGATTACTTTTCTGCTTCTCTACTCCTTTACTCCTCAGGCAAATCACCTCTTCTCCCCCTCCCCTTCCTTGTCTTGCATTGTCCCCAACTACACTCTCTTCGCAGAACCCGGCAGATTTCTCATGCCTCTGCACCTCTGCACATGCTGTTCCACTCTGCCAGAGATGCTGTTGTCCTACCATCCTTCCTGACAAAAGCTGCCACGCCCTTTGAAGCCCAGCTTGTGTTATCTCTTCAATATGGCTTTTCCCGTGCCCCCTCCTCCATCCCCAAGCAAAATGAATTGTTCTGATGGTGTTCCTTGGCTATGGCCTCATCCCACAACATTTTGTTGGTTTGTCCACAGTCTACTTGCTCTCTGACAGTGAGGTTTTCACCATCTGCATCAGTGGCAAGTCTGTGCCTAATCTCTGTCCTTCCAGTGCTCAGCCTAGGGCTTGGCACACTGCAAAATCAAATAAATAACTGTTGCTTTGGGTGGCTGAGGTCTTGGGCAGCAGGTGAGAAGAAGGGGCTACCCCTTCTGGGCAACAACACCTTGATTTGTCTCTGGACGATCATCTTACCCTTTTCCATCCATCTAGTTTGCATGGAACTGACTAAGACCCAGGGCTGAGCCTATGACGTGGCAACCCACTCAGATAGCACAGCTCCTGACCTCAGTGACTATACAGTGATGGGCATGTGAGCTAAGCCCGGCCAGTGAGAGCATGGCAGCAAAATTAAAGACGGGGAGGGGAATTGGGGGAAAAGAAAATGAAGGCAGAAGAAAAACGATGGGCCAAAAGTAGAGTTAGTGTCCCTAAAAGGGGTCCATGAAGTCCAAGATATTTGACAGAGTCTGGCTACCCCTATGACCCTGTGCTTCCGAACACAAAAGTGTTCCCACCTAAATATCTGTTGCAGATAATAAACAAGACGCACCTAGAATTAAATGAAGCAGGATGAAGCTGTGGTCAAAGAGGATGTGCTTTGGAGTCAAATCATCCGAGTTCGAATCCTAGCTCTGCTGTCTACACTAGCTCCGTACAAGCCCCTTACCTCTCTGACCCTCAGTCTCTATCAGTAAGATGCAGATATCAATTTGTGGGGTCGCTCTAATAAACAAGAAGTGCATGCAAGTGGCAGCAGGTATCCAACTATTGTTACTCTGTTGTCATCATTAGTTGATTGTCTGGTACAACAATCCGGGTTAGAGATGTCAAGGCCAATGATGAGGCTTAAACTAGGGCAGAAAGAGCGAGAAAAGAGAGGAAGATGGATGGAATAGATATTATCCAGATGGCGTTAGTCAGAAATCTTTTGTTTGCAAATGACAAAAACCCAACTTCAAAATCTGCTTAAGCCAAGAGGAAAGTATTCGTCCATGTCACTGTAAAGTGAGAGGTACATTTTGAGTTTCACAAAAGGCTGGAAGGCTGGGTCCCCTCCTTGTATATTTTCTTGGTTCTGTTTTCCCTGGGCTGGACTCCTCATGCCCATGGAGGCCCCAGTTTCTCCAGGCTGAGATAGTTACCCAGCTGGCAATCCTTACAGAAAAAGAGAGGGTCGCTTCCCCAACATTTGTGATGAAAGTCTTGGAATTGAGTCTCATTTGCTATGCTTCCTCAAGTTCCCATCCTGGAGCCAATCACAGGCGTGAGGGAATGTTCTGAGCCTGGGCCGTGTGACCATCCTTGGTGTTTGGGGAAGGGGAGAGAGTCCAACTTCATCTGGGCTGAGGGTGGGAAAGAGGATCTCTAAGGAAAATTGGGGCGCTGTCACCCAAACACAGGAGGGTATGCTGGGGAAAACACTAACAGCTGTGCCCTGCGGAAGGGGATTAGCAGGGCCCAAGGAAGGATTGGATGTGGAAGGCCAGGGAGTCAACAGGGGCAGCTCTAACCGGGCTGTTTTGAGCTCGCGGCCTCTGACTTTGGTCCCCAGCAGGCCTCAGGGGCATGACTCAGCAGTGAAGCTGCCACACGCAGGGTTTTGCAACCGACCTTTCCCCTCCTCCCCAGCCCTGCATTGGTGTGTCCCTGGGGTTGGGCCCGGCTCCTGCCTGGAAATGTCCCTGACCGGGACCTCCTCTGGTCCCTGGGAGAGGGAGGGTCTCCCGTCTCCTCAGCCCAGCTCTGCCATTTCACTCTTGCTTCTCACCCCAGGGCAAAGTCTGGAGATTGCTGAGAAAAAGGTCAAATGCCACCTTGCTCTCGGTTGGGGGTCCAGCAGCCAGCGCTCTGTGGCTGCCCTGCCCCCAGCCAAGCAAGGGAAAGACCAGAACTGCTTTACACTGGCCCAGCCCCCAGAGACAAGAATGGTCGAGTGCTTCTCAACCTTCAGAGTGAGAAAATGGGGATAATAAGAGCTGTCCCCATAAGTCTTCCTCCTCGGGAAAGTAAATAGCAAATAAGGTCATGTTGAGGGCACACCCTTTGAGAGAAGGGGCTCCCACCCTCAGCTCACCTTTCCTGAGCATCTACGACATTTCAGGCCCAAAGTGCACACTGGAACAGAAAGCAGAATAAAATCCAACCGTAGCCCCAAGTTGCTTGTGAGTTACAACAGGAAACAGACAGGTAGCAATCAGCCCGCAGTGTCCAGAGTCCTTTTATGACTAAGCACGGGGCTTGGGGAGAACAGAGGAGGCACAGAGGACACAGTCTGGGGAGTCTGGGGGCAGCTGGGAGGGACTGGAGGACAGGGACCTAGCTGGCTCCTGAAGAGCAAAGAGCTGGCTGGGTCAGGAAAGGAGGGAAAGGGCATCCCGGGGGAAGAAGCCTGTGCAAAAGTGAAAGGTTGCCTCAGAAGCTGAAGGGGAGCCCAGGGCACAGGGAGAAATCATGGGAAGAGATGAGCCCGCAATGGCAGATGGGACCAATGTTTAGAAAGAAGTTCTAAACTTCTTAGTTTAGATGGGGGCAAATGGGGGAGTGTCCAGGTCTGATAGAGACCTCTAGTTCAGACCATTTCATTAGACATAATTAAACAGAAGCTCTGGCAAAGCAAAGGTCTCTCTTCAGTAGGAGATCAACTTAGCGAAGATTTTGGGCTCCCTGAGAAAGATGCAGAGAAGCCCAACTTTCTGAGAAACCTCATCCCCCCAGCCTCTTGTATCTGATGGCGCTCCCGGATACCAGTTTTTATTTCCTGCTTTGTCACCCCCACTGTCCCTAAAGCTCCTTTCTGAGAAGCCATGGCACAGTGGGTGTTTGGACTGTGGCAGTAGCCAGGCAGAGAGGAAGATGCCCCCTGCCAACCCCACCTGCCCTGGTAAATCAGCCAGGCAGGTACCTAGCCAGGAACACCTGTAGATGCTAAAGAGGCCTTCCAGGGGGGCCAGAAATGTTTCTCCTTGTCCCTTTCTTTTGTCATTTCAACATTAACTTGCCGTTCAGTTGGGAAAGGTGAGGGCCCTTTGGTCATCTGTCCCTGGCTGTGTGACGTGGCCAAAGCCTTGTGAGCCTGAGTTTTCTCAGCTGAAAAGGTGATGTGAGGGTGGCCCTAGATCCAGTCCATGAAGCACCCGTGTGAGGAGGAGGATGCCCCTGCTCGCTCCCTTCTCGGGAGCTCCCTCTTCCCGGAAGCCTAGGCTCCTCTCACCCCCCCAGACCAAGCTGAAGGCGGCATAGGGTAGCAGGGTCTGCTCTAGACAGCAGGCTCCCTCCAGATGGGGTTACAGACCATAGTCTAAATATTTCAGAAGTTATAAATCCAGCTAATAAACTATTAAATAAAATGTGTTCTATTGCCTGGAAGGACAGAGCTTCCTTATGACCTGGAATTAGGCCCAACCTTGGAGTTTCACACGAGCACCTGTCCTCTGCTACTCTTGTTCTGTTTGCCTGCACTGTAAGGGGCCTTACTCAGGCAGCCCGCACATTCTGCCCCCCACCCCCCGGCGAACAGCACCCACTGGCCGCATGGCCCACCCTAGTGAAAATAGGATGGGGGAGAGGCCCATGAAAGCCTGCAAGTGGGCTCAGACATTTAACAAGGAATCCCAGGATCTTGGGACCCTGGAGCATCATCTGGAAGGGAGCTGCTTAGGTTCCAACTGGGACACAACCGTTGTCCCCCCAGATTCCTCACTTGGGCAGGGGAGAGGGCTGGGGCCCCTCTTGCCCTGGTCAGAGGATGCAGGACATGGAGCCAGGAAAGAAAATTATGTTCTTGGTTCTGCTATTTTCAAATGAGATCTTAAGTCCGTCCTGGTATCTGTCTGCACCCCAGTCTCACCGACTGCAAAATGACAGAGCCAATCTATTTAGTCTCTGAGTTTCCTTCTGAGAGAGAGAATGAGATAGAGAGAGAGAGCATGAGACAGGGGAGGGTCAGAGGGAGAAGCAGACTCCCTGCCGAGCAGGGAGCCCGTCTGAGTTTCCTTCTGGCTCTGACCCGGGGTCCTGCAGCTGCCCTTCCCTCCCTCAGGCCAGTGGGTGCTGGTCAGTTGGTCACCAGCTTCTCCAGGCCTTCCTGCCTGGGGCAGCCCCTCCAGGTCCACAGTTATCTTTGGAATTGAGCTCTTGACTTCCCTAAACAGCGGGTCTGGAACTAAGAAGCCAACAAACTAACAAAAACCTTTAACTGGTTTCATGTGTGACCTGGGATCATAAAAGTAGTCAAATCTTGACCAAGCTTGCCAATACAGGCTTCTAGGTCACCTAGGCGGGAGGGCCCTTCTTTATGCCTGTTGACAGCCGGATCAGCCCTCCCAAGCCAGTCTGTAATCAGGATCTTTAAAGAAAATAAGTGAATTAGGCAAATTGAGAGGACAGAAGGTTCCTTTGAGTTTTGGAGCTTGGGGACAGCCCTGGTGAGAACAGATAAGGCTAGAGGAGGAGTGATGGGAGGGGTGGGGAGGAGAGGGCATGGGGGGAGGGGCACAGGAGGAAGAAGGGAATCATTATTAGCAGTTAGTGAGTTCTACCACGGGCCTGTGACCTGTGCCAAAATTTTACATACATTTTCTCAATGATTTAAAGATTTCAGAGACCAGTAAAATCCTCTCCTTTCCAATGAACAATTTTGGGAGCTGAAAATGAGTGAGTTTCTGGGTTGGTTTTTTTTTTTTTTTTTTGCCAAAGAAAGACATTAGAAAACAAATTCTATTATTTATCCATTTGACAAATATTTATTGAGAGCCTGCTATGTGCCGGGCATTATTTCAGGTCCTGGGGTAGAGCTGTGAACCAGATAGACAAAGATGCCTGTGTCCTGGGAGAAGTCAGACAATGGACCCAACAGGAAATAAGTAATAGGTCTGACAGTGGTGGTGGTAAGTGCTATGAACGAGAAACAAGTCGGGCAAGGGAGAAGGGACGGGGCCCAAGGGGGTTGGACTGTATTTTAAACAGGGTGCTCAGGGAGGGTGCCCTTGAGAAACACACATCTGAATAAAGTTCTGGAGCTGGTGAGGGGGTGAATCTCGGGTAAGTGGGTGGGTTAAGGATTCTGGCCGAGGCAACTGTAAGCACAAAGGCTTGTTGCCCTTTCACTTACAAAATAAAAATAGAGTGAGGATAAAATCTCAGCATGAAGGCCAATCCTTCTTCTGGGAGGGTAATTGGTAAACTATTCTGGTGATATATATATGCATCGTCTCTGTATCTAGCTAGCTAGCTATCTTGATATAAGCATAGATGGACATATACATGTGGTCTTTGTCATGATTTTTCTTATTATGCCATAAAAGGGTAAGAACATGTCTCAAGTCAGTATCTGTCTGCAGATTAACCTGTGGCCATTGATGGTTGCTGCATTTTACGGGGGCGGGGGGCGGCATCTGAGCCTCAGAGAGGGAGCGGCCTTGCCTAGGGTCACAACCACTAGTACCCACCCGGTCAGTATTTGAACTCAGATCCAGGTCCTGTGCTCTTAACAATAAGCTGCCTTGGTCTGCTTTGCCGCCACACCTCCGCCGACCCCCACCCCGGGCTCCCCAGGTGCTGAGTAAAAGAGCAGCTTGGCCATCTGGTGAAACCTGATTTCCCCTTCCTCTTTCTCTTGCCCAGGGGGCCGGGGCAGTGTGCACAGCCCCCGGGCTGGCAGGACTGAGGGTGGGCGGGTGGAGCCACAGACTTTGTTCCTTTCTGGAGATCAGTGGGCAGCTCCCTGGCGCCGGGCCTGCTGGGGCCTTTGTGTTGGCATTTGCCCCATCAGGAAGCCTAGCTAGGCAGGCTGGGTCTGGCCTAGGAGAGCGCATTGCTTCAAAACCCATCCATGCCAGCGAGCAGGCTCCGGTCAGCTGCTCTGTGCCCAGCTCTGTACTGGGAACTTTGTGGGTCATTGTGCTCAGATGAACTCCGTCAGCAACCATGAAGGGCAGGCGAGAGGGCTGTTCATTTGTTCACTCGGTCATTCCCACCTCCATCCCACCAGAATTTGCTGAACACCGGATCTTTTCAGAGAACGTGGTCTGAGTCTCTAAGATGTGCCAAGCATTAGGCCGGCGCTTGTGTTCTTATTTAAAGAGGTATTAAATTAGCATAGGATGTAGGGAGAGATTCTTTGGGGTAGGTGGAGGGATTTATTTAGATTGGAGGAGAACTGGAGAAGTTTTGAAAGGAAGTAAGATCTGGGCTGGGCCCTGCAAAGCCAGGGACCTTGGAAAGTGCAGGGCTGGGAAAGGGCCTTCAGGCAGGGGGAGCAGGCTGCGCAAAGGCTGGGCAGTCAGATAAAAAAGGGTGTGTTTGCCAACCAAGAGCTCTGGAGCAGTTTCCCTGCAGGATAGTGGGAAGAGAGGTTGTTAGGTTAGTCAGAGAGGATGCTGAGAAAGAAGTTCGCCAGCTGGTCTCTGAGCGACCCTGGGCCCGTCATCTACATCTCTGACTCTCTCCCACACATGGGTACTGATGGGGTTCAGGACAGGCCACCCCAAAATATGCTACTTTGGCATATTGATTATTTTGAATTAAAGTTACTTAAGAAACAACCTGTGCAAAAAAGGACATAATGACTCTTCTTTGTCCCCTGGAAAGCAGGAAATAAATTTCCCATGTGTAGGGTACCCTCCCTGTACCAGGAGAGAGGTCCTTATCACTAGAGATAGGGAATTTAGGGCAAGAAGGCTGTGTAAACAAACCTTGTTACTTCTTCACTCATTTACTACCCCAAGCCCAAACTTATTTGTCTTGTCAATTCTTCACAAATGTACTGTTTCTTTGTCTAAAAGCTGCCTGCCCTGGTCACTTGTTTGAGTCTCATATTTTTGTGAGCTCCCATACATGTGAAATTAAATTTGTTTTTCTCCTGTTAATCTCTCTTATGTCCATTTAATTGTTTAATTGTTAATCATTTTATTGATTATTAATTATTTGATTGTTAGACCAGCCAAAGAACCTAGAAGGGAAGAAAGGAAAAGCTTTCCTCCCCTACGGTATACACAGTCACACATATACAAGCTTCCACACCCACACCCATACATATATGTACACGCATGTGCGCGTGCGCATGCGCACACACACACACATTCTGTTGTGCCTTTCCTGATACCACTAGGCAATTAACTCATTTCTTAGTGGACACTGACTATAATTTAACTCAGTTCTGGTGCTACCT